CTGGATCTGCTCAGGTCCCTCCAGGTGTGATGTCACCAGTGGGGAAAGGTTTTGGCTGCTGACTCCATGGGTAATTGGCTGTGCTGTTGATAGAAGGGCAAGCTCTTCTCTGGTGCCTGAGACTCTAAGGAGGGGTGGGGGAGGGGCTGCACTTCCAGCTGCTCTATCAAGTCATTGCTCATTTAACCCAGTAAAAACCTCTGTGTTCCCAACAAGCATTTCAGCTACTGGGCACAGCTCATCTCCAAGGATGCAACTCGAGTTAGATATTTTTTAGCCTGAGAACACACACAGACACACACGCACACGCACGTTCTCTCTCTCTCTCTCTCTCTCTCTCTCTCTCTCTCTCTCTCTCTCTCTCTTAAATCTCTGAGAACAAGTATAGAATACCTTTGAAGACCAGAGCAATTTTGAGGAGGAAGATAACATTAATACCCCCCTCTCCGCTGGGAGGATGTGATGGATGATTGTGCAAAGCATGGATCTGACAAAATGTTCTTGGGAAAGACAGTTAAAGTCTGTAATAAACTGTGAACCTAGTCTTCTGGCTCCCTGACAGCTTTCTCTGGAAGTCCCAGAGGAAGGGCTACACTCTGTCAGGTCAGAGGGAAAGAGGCCACTGAGCCTGGCTTGGCTTTCTTCAGAGCCGCTCCCCACTGCCGAAGCGTTGGCGGAGACGTCTCTGGATTTGGACTCCATTGTCCTCTGGTTATGCAAGATTCTTTCCAGCCTTCGCCAAGAGGGGGTGGGAGCAGGCCTGGGAAGGAGCTGTGTATGATGTGGCTGGTGTATCCTGGCTCCTGGGCCCAGGTCAGAGACATGTTTCCTGGGAATTTCCCTGAAAGTTTGGAAGCCTTTAGAGTCCCCAGAGATCACTTTCATCACCGATTCTGGGCTGTCTTCCATCTGTCTCTTAAGGTGAGCAAGAGGGAGAAAGCAGAGAGGGAGTTCATTTATGTTGCTCACACAGTAGTTGGGTTGTTGGGTCGGTGACAGACACAGGCCTCTTAGCATGGATCGGGAGTGTTAGGACTGGAGATTCCATAAAAACCCATTTCATCAGCCGGGCATGGTGGTGCATACCTTTAATCCAAGCACTTGGAAGGTGGATCTCTGTGAGTTCAAGGCCAGCCTGGTGTACACAGTGAGTTCCTGGACAGCCAACTATATAGTTAGTAAGACTCTGTTCTGAAAAAAACAAAACAAACAAAACCAACCCAAAACCAACCCAAAACCAACAAGCCACTTCACAAGATCCCATTCACCCACTAGAAGAGGCATATGTTAGGGGATATTGTCTGGGGTGGTTTTGTAAGTTTTTGTTAGCAGGCAATAGAGAACATATCCACTGCCCTAGAATCCTCATACTCCCAGCCCCAACTCACTGACTTGTAGTTTGAAACTGTAGATTCACTTTGCTATCTGCTCATTTCAGGTGGACAATGCATGCCCCACTGGGTTCTGGGTAATGCCTTTGCCTACATCCAAATCTAATTGCATCGCAGTCTGTGGGTTCATCCATTTGTCAATGGCCTTTCTGGCCCAGGAGTTGGCTGTTTCCATTTTGGAGCGCCTTGTAATGAAAGCTACTGTGCGTCCACTCAAGACTTTGGGAGGATGTTTTTCCCTTTCTTTTGAGTAACTACATACGGTGGAATGGTGCATTGTAAGCAAGCTCATGTTTAACTCCCTAACAGTCCTCGTTTTCTAAAGGTGTTCGTACCATTTCCTGTTCTCCCAGTTATTTGTTTCAGTTCCTCCCCACTCTCTGCAGACACCTGTGATAGTCAGTTCCTTTTAGCTGTCCCTGTGGGTGTGCAGTGACATCCAGTCATTTTAATGTCACTTTCTCTAATCACTAATGGAGTCCAGTGCTGTTTTATGAACCTTCCTGAATTTGCAGACCTTTTGTGGAACATTTGCTCTAACCATTTGCCTTTTATTTATTTTTTAACATTTATTTATTTATTTATTTATTTATTTATTTATTTATTTATTT